CTCTCTCTCTCTCTCTCTCTCTCTCTCTCTCTCTCTCTCTGTGTGTGTGTGTGTGTGTGTGTGTGTGTGTGTGTACACATAAGTGCAGAGGCCACAGGATAGCCTTGAGTGTGTCATTCTTTGGGTGCCATTGGGTGTTTTTGAGCAGTGTCTTTATTGGCCTAAAACCTACTGATTCAGCTAGACTGGATGCCCAGCAAACCCCAGGGATCTGCCTTTTCCTGTTTCCCCATCGCCAGGATTACAAGTGAATGCCACCACATCTACTTCTTCTCTTCCTCCCCCCACCCTTCCCGTTCTCATCCCCTCCTCCTCATCCTCATAGCTCCATCATTGGCTCATAGCTCCATCATTAGCTTCCTCACTGGCCGTCAGTCATCTTCATGGCCTAGTCATCCTCTTTGTCTTTGAACTTGGATTTTGTAGGTTGAACTCAGGCCCTCATGCTTGCAAACACTTTACTGACTTAGCTATCTCACCAGCTCCATGTTACCTTAGCTTTAACTGCTCCTTTAAAAATAAGAAGAAAGGACGTGGATAAGTAATAATAATAATAAAAAACCTTCCTGTTCCTGTAGGTGAGACCTTATAATGATTCTTTTCTGTCTATGCTGGGGACACAAGTCCCTGAACACTTGCTAAGCTGAACAGTCTTCTCGGCTAGTCCCATTTAGCAGGATGTGCGTGGCTAGTTCACATCTTTAACCTGCTTCATTTCCCATGTGGGATGAGTCCTGTACACTCAGCACCTAGAGCAGGTGACGTCTAAAGCTGTCTGGGGAAGCTGAGGACAGGTTAGGAGCTAATGCAATGATCACCATCATTGCATCCCAAGCTGTCCTACTTAGCGTCTCTGCAGGCTGTGGCATCCTAGGTCACAGAGCATTTTGTAGCAGCCCCACCGCTTCCCTTCGCCCCTCACCATCTGTGGGCATGCGTGCAGGGCTATTACTGGATTTGGGGAGCCAGAGACGGTAGGGAAGAACACAGAGAAGAGATGGAATTTGAATGGCAAGAGTCGAAGGCTGTGCTAGGCTTCTATACATGGAATAGAGCCCTTATGTTCTCTGTTGACTCTAGACCATTGTTTTTATTACTTGGGCCATTATTTCAGGAGGCAACACACAAAGGTCATTCCATATGGTTGAGTTTTAATTAAGACCCTCCACCCCCCCCTCAGTTATCTTTCAGATGAATTTGTTCTTATGTCAATAACCCATCCACATTTTGTTTCAGACATTGGTGTAATGTTAGCTCAAGAAATTTCTTAAAATAATCCAGATTTTAAATTGTCACCATAGGATCCTTTTTTTTTTTTTTTTTAAAAAAAAATTCATTTGTAGCAAAGAAACCCTGTTTCACCTTAAAGGTAAATAGTATGTAATTTCTAAACTGTCTCAAGATATAAAAACATGATTTTAAATAGCTTCTGTACCCTGAAGGAGAAAAAATTGCTAAGCAACCATATGCTTCATCCTTAAATGCCATCAGTCCATGAGGCAGGTAAGGCAAAGCCTTCTCGTGGTGGCTTGCTTATGGTGGGCGGCACTCTTAGAAAACCAGAGTCCTCTGGACATGCTACCCTGTGACACCGTGTGTGTAGTAGAGAGCTTGCTCTGCACGGCCACCCCATCTCCTGTTCCTTTAACTGGAGCTTGTGTGTTGGAGTACAGCAAGTTGATGGCTTCCAGTAACGTCCATACCTAAATTTAAACAGATCACAGGAGAGGGCTATGTGGCCTTACAAATGAACACCACCTGTGAGGTCAGACAGGTGCACAGAGACAGAAGGAAGAGAATCCCGAGGTCAGCACGTGTTGACTTCACGTGACAATATAAGTGATATATTGTGAGGCTGGTCTATTCATAAGCTATGGGTGGTATCTGCTCTTAATGGCTATTAAAGTTATAATATTCTGAATTGAATATTACAAGATCACCAAGTGCTTCCTTGAAGTTCTGATGTCAGAAAACTCTATTGTAGGTCAGAATCTCATGCTCAACAGGCCTGGCATCCCAGTCACTGGGCCGCTAACATGTGACTGATAGCTTATTCTTCACTTGGACTTTTCTTTGCTAATTCTCAGAGTAGAGTGCTGACACCAGCCTGGTTCAAGGCCTCTCTCTGTCTGCCCTGTTGTCCCTGATCCTGCAACAAGCAAAACTCATTCCCATTGGTTTTTGCTTTGATTTCTGGTGTTCACTTTCTCCAGATAACTTTCCCTGTGTCTCTCTTCATGTCTAAGGTCAAGACTTTCTGAGTGACCATGATTTTGAATCTTATATATTCATAATAGTCATGTATTACAGATTCATAATTATTCATATATATACATACATATACATTATTGGCATGCATTATAACAATAATGGTGAATAAAGTACATAAAAATATTTAATGGCATACCACTCATTATGTTGGGTAGAAAAATAATTTAAAAATTACTATGGTTCTATTTTTTATTAAAAAAATGTGTAGTACAAAAAGTAAAAAATAAATACTAAAAACAACCACAATAAATGCTACTAGTGTGTGCAGCTGGACTCGAGACTTACTTATGTCCTGATACTTTATGAGGTTGGTCAGTTAATGTGTTTTGCTTTAGTAATAAGCACATATTAATAAAACACATCTAAGTCAGGATACTTTACTCCATCCTTAAGAAAAATGTTGTAACTCCAAGTGCTTTCAATTAGCTTTCACAATAACTTCTATATCTAGGTATTGAGAGAACACAGAATGTGTGTGTGAGGCACTGAGGTCCAGCACGATGCATCTTCGACTCTGCTGTGTCATAATGTGGATGCCTTCGCAAAGAAAGGCAGCCATTGTTTCTGGTGACTATATCATGGACAGGAAATGACCTCTTGACTATGCTGTGGAGCCCTCATATCTGGCTTTGTGGTTTATTTCTCCACATCCACTCTTCCCAGCACAAAGAGGATGTATTTGGGAACCACTGAAACTGCTTCTAAAGTGTGGATTAGACAATTCTCCTTGACCCTGCTGCCCTAATTTAGTGTGAAGTGGAATTAAACAGTAGAAATGGAGGAATTTCCTTGGAGATAGCAAAATAAGAGGGGAATTGTTTGGTTATACAGTAGACTCTGAAAGGGGAGGAGAGGCTTGAAAGCAGCTATGAAGCACGCATGTTGTTTTTAGTGATATGTGAGCCTAGGGAGCGCAACAGCTGTGTTGTTGTTGGTTTTTTCTTATGCCAACTTTGGTTGATTGATATTTTTTTTCCCTCTCTGACAGCTCACTGTGCTGATAAATGTGTCCACGGCCGCTGCATCGCTCCAAACACCTGTCAGTGTGAGCCCGGCTGGGGCGGGACCAACTGTTCCAGTGGTGAGTGCCCATCTGCCATTGTCTGTCTCCGGGGGTGGTTGTGTGGGCCCCTCGTCTGCGGGTGACTCTAAGCCAAAGTTCCTGTCCCCATCCCAGGCAGAGGGCCTTGTGGATTGCAAATCTACCTCGTTCATGCTGTTCCTCCTAGCTCCATGCATGTATCACAGAGAGCACTGCTGTTGAGTAGAAAGGAAGGAAGGTTCTTGGAAAGGAGAGTTAGGGAATCTGTGACCTGCAACTCCGTCAGCATCGGAGGGGGAGCAGAGCTTAGTCTCCTCAGCAAAGGGAGGTCGTTGTGGGAACGTAGCCATGGCGGTCTAACTACTGTTCTTGACTTGATTGAAGTTAGCTGCTTTCTTGGTGATGAAAATGTGTCACATGTTGAGTTTGATTCAGAAACAGAATGTCCATTTGCCTCTAAACTCTGAGATGAACATGATGAACACTCATTTGCTCAGATAACTTTAGGGAGATGAATCTGCAACAAAACTTCGTGAGCATGTTGATGCTTGCTTAACAAAACTCCAACATACTTTGTGGCTGTCTTCATTATGAGAGAGTTGCAAGCCTAAAATCATGTTTTCTAGGTTCTAAGAAGGCTGCACACAAGGCCCCCATTTTCAGGGTCACGACATTGGAATGATGGAATGTCACAGAATACAGCTACTGTCATACGCATTTTGCAAGTAAAATTTCAGTGTCCTGGCAACTTGTTGCTGCATGCAAAATTGTGCCTTTTTCTTCATGACCTAAAAATATAAGGGGAAATGGAAATACAATCCTATATTGCAATAAATAAATAAATAAATCATTAAACTCATCCAAGAGAAATAATTGTTTTCCAAAAGTGAGCCAGTTCTTCTAACAGCCCAATGGCGAATTTTGAGACTAGTCTGGAAGAATTTTGAGTTGCCCGGTTAAACTGACTTCTAAGACTTTTACTTGCTTTCTTTGGAATTAGGAAGATTCTTTCTTATTTTGCTAAGAACACCTTTAGGCTTAGGATTTCTTGGCTGCCCGTGAAGCTGCATCTCCTGGGGGAAGCCTTTGTACACAAAACATTCAGTGTCAAGAGCCTGCTTATTATAACTTTGATAGGGAATATGAGATGTGTGTGTGTGGGGGGGGGAGGAGAGAGAAAGAGAGAATAAGAGCATATAATGAATGTGTATGAGTGTGTATGTTTGTGTATGGGGGTGTGAGGGGATATGTGAATGTATGAGTGTGCTTGTGTGTGTGTGAGGAGGGTATGAGGGCATGTGTGAATTTGTGTGTGTGTGTGTGTGTGTGAGAGAGAGAGAGAGAGAGAGAGAGAGAGAGAGAGAGAGAGGGCATGCGTGAATGTGTGGGAGTCTGTTCCAGTGGGTAACTGTCTTACAGAGTTTTGTTCCACTTCTCTTGGAGAGCAGGGAGGCAGGGTGGGCACTCTGTCCACATGAAATTGAGGCAGAATGTTTGGGATGTGGGATTTGGCTTGTGTCCATTTTCCTGGCTGACTGACCGCAAATATGAGACTACTTTCATTAACTTTTCTAACTTTAAACCCAGTTGTACCTAGACATTTTGAAGAAAAATATTATTGTAAAGTGGAAAAGGGGGAAATGGCTGGGTTCTTCATTTGAAATGGGCTTCTTACTCACCTCCGGGCAGGAGGCTGTGGAACGATTTCAGCTGCTCCCATGCTTTGACTCCTAAAAACTGGAGACTTCCTCAAGTTAAGGGCTCAGACTAGAGGGCATTTGTGCACAAAACAGAAGCCTGTAGGAACTTTAGAGTCTTTAAAGCTGACTTTGGCCTTTGAGAAAGTAAAAGCTTGCTCTCTGTGTTAGAGTTTTCTGACTCCAATGAACACGCCAATATTCTGAGATCATACAATCTAACAATAAAGTACGATAATTAAGCAACTTTTAGTTAATTCTCTACAATTCATGTCCGGGCTTTGTAACAAACAAAATTATAAATAAACGTGAACAGATTTCTGAAGCCTTTAAAGATGCTCCAAGAATAACATTCCTGACACTTTTTTTTTAAAAAAAAATTTATTTATTTATTATGTATACAATGTTCTGTCTGTCTGTATGCCTACAGGCCAGAAGAGGGCACCAGAACTCATTACAGATGGTTGTGAGCCACCTTGTGGTTGCTGGGAATTGAACTCAGAACCTTTGGAAGAGCAGGCAGTGCTCTTAACCTCTGAGCCATCTCTCCAGCCCTCCTGACACTTTTTAAACCCACAGCATAAAGAGGCTAAGAGCACACACTGTTTTGCCAGAAGGGCAGGAGCTTGGTTCTCGGGACCCATCTTATAGCTACCTATAACTATAGCTCCAGGGCCTCTGATGCTCTCTTGTGGCTTCCATGGAATCCTGCACTCAAATGCAGAAACCCTGTCACGTGCACTACACACACACACACACACACACACACACACACACACACACACATGCACACGCGTGTTCCCTCCCGCACATCGTGTTGGTGTGAGAAGACCATGCTGTCTCTGAAGTCTGTGTGTGAGGAAACACCAGGAAATAAACTGGGGAGTGGATATCCTCCGAATCCTTAAGCCCTGAAATACCCAGTGAGTTGGGCAGGACTGAGAAACTGGCATTAGCACATCAGTATCAAGCAAATCCCAGATGTCCCGGGTTGGTCTCCTCATCTCCCATGCATCTTAGAAAAAAATAAAATAAAATAGCGGCGTGTGCTAGTGATGGATTTTTGTTTTCTTTCTGCTATAGGTCCTCTCGCTTGCTTGTCCCAGCTTCCCTCTCTCTTCTTTCTGTGTGGATTTCTTGTTCTGTCCTTGTTTGGGTAGTGGAAGCTGGTGAGAATGTCATAGGATATCCAGTCCACATCTATGTCCCTGGTGTTTGTCACACAGACTATAGGCCACTCACGCCTGTGCACTGAGCAGAGTCTTACCACCATTCTGTCTGAAGAAGTTGTCGACTGCTGGCTGCTATCAGTGGCCTGCAGGCTCCCGATGCCAGGGAAGCTGCTCACGCAACAGGAGCTTCTTGCTACCCTCAGGACTCCAAAGGAGGCGCAGGTGCTAGAGGATCACTGAGCAGGGTCTGCTGAGCTAACACGCTGGGGCCCACACCCCCTAACTTTCTTCGGTGTCTTTCCAGTGCCCTCTACTGAAAATGCTTCGTCTTCAACCAGAGAGCAAAGGAAAAGTAGTTAAAAGAATGACACCTGCTTTTGTGTGACAGGCAGTGAGGGCTGCATTTTGACCGGGGAGGCGTTGCCTTGGTAACTCCTGGGTTGACTCAGTTACTGTCTTTATGCTTCCGCACACTTGAATATCTCTATAACAGCCCAATGATGCTGTGTCCCCTCCTAATTTGACAGAGCCCCCATTTCACAAACGAGAATGTTTTCACCACCTTCTCCAAATAAGGAGAGTGCTGAATCCGTTGCTGCTTACTCTACACCTTTCCAAAGTTAGTCATGGCTCTGCCGTGTCCCCTGAATGCTGCAGTTCAATTGAAGCACTTTATATCGAAAATAAAATAATAATGGATAGTGTGAAAATAAACATGTGGACAGGGACATGGCAAACAGAAAATTATCAAAAGCTGCTCCCTGCCTTTCCTCAGTCATTAGCCGCACAGCCCCAGCCGTGGTGTCCTCCTCTCCCATTCTGTTTCCGTCTCTCTCACCCAGAACCTCAGCTGTCTGAGGTTTGTTAGCTGCTGGATGGCTCAAGGCTTCATTGCTGAAAGAGTGGTGCTCCCTTTTGTCCCCCACTTCCTGTTTGGGTGCTGCCATTTTCTATTTCCCTCACCACAGGCATAGGTATGGGAGATAGGTTCTCCCCATTCCCCGTGTTCCACCCAGGGAAAATGTCCTCCAGGCTCTCTGTCTAGCGGCAACCCAGTTTCCCCTTTGATAATCAGGGTCAGGTAACAATACATTAATAACAGTCACACACACAGCTATCATTCTCTTTCTTCTCAGAAGACATAGGAAGCCAAGAGAGATGGACATTTTCAAATGCGAGGCTTTCAGATCTTTGTGTGAGATCCGATAGGACGGGTTGCTATATCCGGGGAAGGTGGGCTTCCCCTCTGAGAGGCAGCCAGTATGTGTCCAGTTCCCAGTGAGGCAAGTAGAAGGACTGTTCAAAGTCGGTTTCCTCAGAAGGTAATCCTGATATATTTGACTACAAACTTGATTAAAGTGGGTTTTGGAAAAAGCCCACGCATATTTCTCTTTCACTGGCATCCAAATGTGTACCCCTGCCTATATGACTGAGTGACGCTAATTCATTTACCTGCCTCCTCCTTCCTTCTCCTCTTTCCTCCCCTCATCAATCTATCTGTCTAAGCCTCGGTCCTCTGTTCCTCCGCCCCTCCCACTGAGTGATAGCTGCGGGAGGCGGGGCGGGGAACCAGGTGTTATTAATATGTTCGTCTCCATCATACTTGGCAAGTGTCTGAGCTTATGAGACTGAATGAATTGTGTGATTCTGAGAAGGTCATTCGTGTGTTCATTTTGAGGACTTGTTCTGAATGATTGCAGTGTGCAGAGCATCGTACTAGATGCTGGGGATAACGGGAAATGATGATGAGTGGTCACTGATCTCACAGACGTCATAGCTTGGGAGAAAGGTAAAATAACAGACCAAGGGAAGATGATTGGGGCTGGGTAAGGTCGACAGGGTTCTGAAAGGACAGGGCAGGCAGAGAGCAGACCGTCCTAGGACATGAAAGGATGACTGAACACAGAATACTCGAAACTACTACTTCTAGAAATTTCTCCAAGAAGCCATAGAGAAGGAGCAAAGAAATGAAGAAGCAACTGTACATTCAAGAGAAGGTTTTGTTGACTTTCTCAGGGGCGCTGAGGCTGAGGGTTCAGGTGAGAAAGGAAATCAAGTAGTTGGGGGATGATGACTCCAGATGTCAGCTAGGACTGGGATAGGATCCCAGCTCGTGTGTGTGTGTCTGTGTGTCTGTGTGTCTGTGTGTCTGTGTGCACCTGTGACTATA